TATGAAAGGTTATATGTTTTCTATTTTGGCTAATTTCTTACTTAATTGTAATATATCCCATCACAACTCTCTACACTGACAAATTCTGCACAACAAACAATAATTAACTAGATCCAACAAGCAAGATCCTTCAATTTCAACACAATTATTGCAGAAGATTTCAATTCAAATTCAAATAGAAAAAAACCATCAACTCTTATTACTTACCTTATAAGCTCCAACCTAATAAGCTTACTTAATTTCTTTAATATCAATAATCCCACTTGGCAAAACAACAACACCTCTAGCCAAATCGATGATATATAGGTAAACCAAGAAATAATCTTGAATCTTGTATAACCTTCTCTTTTATCATCACATTAATCAACCAATAGTGACTACCAAATTATCCAATCTCAATAAACAATCCCAAGCAAAATCTCAATACCTCGCATTAAAAAAAATAGATGGAAAATATATATATACTTAGAAACCACACAGGATAAATAGCAGAAATTCGAAGACTATATTAATACTCTTACTTTGTCAGCATCCAGCACTTTTTCTACCATTACAGACCAAGCCTCAATGGATAAACTATAGAATAACCTTCAACAAACTATCAAACAGATAGCCAACAAATATATTTCTTTTAGACTAACATGCCCAAAACCATTCAAAGCCTATACAAAAAAAGCAACCCATTTGCACTTTGACTTGAAAAGGATGAACAAAATAATTAATATAATCAGTCACCCATCTTCCCTAGCCCTCTTGTATATTATAAACACTGATTATGCAGGTCTTGTTGTTGTTGGAGAAAAACAGATCGATTACTAAAGCATAACCGGGTATAGATTTTATATTGTAAATATAGAGTTGTAAGTAGGGTTTCAGTGCAATTGCTACTCCTTTGACTGATTGATGTATTGATGCATTATATTCATCACAATTTGCTGTATAAGTTTTAAACCAAGGGTTAATTAAACTTACTAGGTGGGTATGGTCAGCTGATAATTTTGTTTCTGTTATAATAATGATGTTGGTATTCAGATTATTACAATATTGTAGCCAGGTTGAGTATTTAAGGTTTACATTAATTCCTTAGACATTGTGAACTGTGATTCCTAATTGGATATCTGTATTTCTTTTAAATAGAGGTGGAGGTGTTGAGTTAAGTGTATTTGTATTGGTGGTTATTTTGTTCAATAGTGAGTTGGTGAGTAAGTTTGTTTCACTCATTATGTATTAAGTATATAGTTGTCAACAATATCCTAGTCTGGAGATAGTAAGTCTAGTAAGTCATGGATATAGTTGGGTGTATGAGTAAAGTTGAAGTAACAGCTAATGCAATCAAGTGTAATTTCAATTTCTTTGTAATTCTTAATTAGGAGTTGTAGTTGTAATTTTGGGTCTAATTCTGTGAGTTGACTTTGAAGATCCTCTATACTTGATGGTAATGCTGGTTTCATATCTTCATTAGGTGAGCTTAAATTTTTTTTTTCTGGGATTTGTATCTAGTCTGTTAGTAGTTGATGGAAGAAATAATATATATATAATTCATGAGCTATGTCAACTAACTGCTTGGGGATATAATAGGTATTATTAAATTCATTTCTTTAATTTGAGTATATTCTACTAGTAGGTTTGGTTTATTAGTGTAGTTGACTTCAACATAGTTGATAGGTAATGGATTTGGTATATGGTATTCATTTTGAATTTCGGCTATAAATTGCAAGGCACTTGTTTTGTTCTTAATAGGGAAATTATAGCTTCTGGCTGTAATTACTTGTGAGGGTTGTAGTGGAAGTAGTTTCTTATAGATAATAAAGTTACTTGGAAGTTTTTTAAATTTGTAATGGCATCGGAGTTTGGTTACTAGATCTCTGAGTTCACTGTCATTCTTAGGATTGCACAGGAATAGGTGCCTAACTTCTTGAATGAGTGCTTGGGGTGTTGAGGGTAAATTGAGTTTTTCAGGAGGTAGATCGAAGTATGATGCGGGTAGTTTGTCATTTAATATATAATGCTTTTGAAGGTTCCTTCTATATTCTGATAAGAATTGTAGTTTGGCTCTATCTCTGTTTAGAAAAAAATTTATATCTAGTAGTGTACTTGCTTAGGGTAGCTGGGCAGAGGTATGCGGGCATTTTCAAAATATAAATCTGGTAAGTTCCTAAATATATATACTAGTCTTAGGGTTTGGGCAACCAATGCAGTTTTGTAGTTATCTTTGATTGGTAGAGTAAATGGTAATATGTCTACTATATCTACTAGGATGTCTTTGAGGAGTCTTGGTAGTTCTAGCCTGTTGGCTTATTGGGTTTCGCTAATTATGCCTTGTATCTGTTTGAACTACATGGTTGTTTTGATTTTGCCAAAGTTGATGAGGTAAAAAATATGTTGAGCACTAGCATAGTTACCACAATAAGCTAGATTTAGTGAAATTAAGCCATCAATTGCTATTTTTTTTCTTAATTTATCAAAAATTTGGTCACAGTTGTTTTTATTTATTAGCAAAACATTGTGTTTGCATTTATACTTTTATAGTTTTTATCAGTCTTCTGCCACTCTTTGCTTCCATAGTTTACTATTTTTTAGAAAAAAGGTTTGTTGTGATTTTGGTACGAGAGATCATTGGAAAGAGTTGTGATCACCTATAAACTACAATACTGTATTAAGAACTATAGATTTAAAACTAATATTTAAAGAGTTCATTAAGAAATTGTAAATAATTTTTTTAGTTAAAATTTTTTTTTAAATTTATTTGTTTTTAACCTAAACTTTTATTTTATAATATAAAATTAAATACTACTATAATATAATCCTTATTTTCAAAAATTATCAAAAAAAATTTTATTTAAATATTTTAAATTTTAAAAAAAGTAAATCATAAACAAATTTATAGAAATTTTTCAAGCAAATTTGCCTGGAATTGTCTACAGTTTAAGAGATAATATTTTAAATATTGTATAATATTTCAAAATATTATACAATTATTAATTTAGATTTTGAAAACTCTTTTCCATATCCCTGCATTTTCATAAGTAAACAAAAATAATAAGCACCGCACGGAAAGAAACTATATTAAAATTAGAATAAATATATATATCACACTATACGATGTGCTAATTTATCATATGCATATTTTAAATTATAATTTGTAGATCTGTGTAACAAGAATTTTATATTAGAATTAGGATTAGGATTAGTAGTTAGCACCTAAAGTATAGTGCAGTATATATCAAAATTTTGCAAGAATCTTTTTTGTTAGAGCTCAAAAAGCAGTTTCATGAGCTATTTCAAATTTAGTGATTTAAGCCGGCTATGGCAGCCATGGCTAAGCTGGCTTAGCTCGCTGAGCCAGCCAATGTAATATGATCAGCTGGCTAATGCGGCTAAAGATCATATGATTAAGTATATAGTAGGATTCTGGTAAATTCTGAAAAAGAAAATGTAATACAAGCAAAGACAAGCTAAATTTTTGGAAGTTTTCCAGAAGTAAGGTATTTAGCCAGCCGATTAGCTGATATTTTTGTCAGCTAACTTAGCCAGCCAACTAAAACCTTACGGCTTAAATCACTATTCAAATCTTTATTTTTGTTATACAAAATTAATTTGCATGTTATACCTGATCTTCAAATTTAATTGATCAATTCTTAAAATGCAATGTATAAGTACATCACAGCATGTGATATCTAATTAAGTCCTTAAAATTAAATTATATCTAATTAAACTGAACCAATACAAAGTAAAACAAACCAACAACAACAAGACTAGCAAAAGAAACAACTATCATCTTCTGAAACCTCCCACAACCACCAACCTGGAGGGTGCACAGTCACTCCATCTAGTCAATGAATGTCACCCCAACAAATGTGTCAAAAGTGACAACATGTCTATACACTCCTAAAACCCCCAGTGTACTACAACAACACCAACATTAACAGATGAGCAGTAAACGAAATCAACTCAAATTTCTCTTCTTAAAATATGAATAGCAATGCTGACAGCGAAGCAAACAATATTGAAGCCCATTCAGCTATCATAACAAAACAAATTATATCATCATCACAACAATCAATCCTCACACCAACTAAGGAAAATATTTTCATACCCACAACCTAATTCAGAAAAATATCCCCATGCCCCAGGACACAATGATAGTTATCCAAACAACAGAGACCAATCTGGTTGAACCCAACCCAAATTCTACAATGACCAACAATGACTTAGTTAACTGTGAAATCAATAACCAAAACTAACCAATGGAATTATCTGATAATATTATATCCAAATTAAACCTACTACCAGAAGGTATACAATATCCCAACAGCAATTGGCGAGTTGGCAACAAACAAATAAACACCTATATAGTTAAATGGCTACAAGGAGACTCTCACAAACCAACAGCTACTCAAACAACCTGTAGATTGAAGAACTAACTAATGAATTAAAAAAATATAAATCTAAATTATTTGATTACAGTACTTGGGATAACAATAAAATACTACATGCACTTAATAATAAGATAGCCTTCAAAGAGTTTATTAATCACAAAATCCAAACAGCAATACCTTCTAT